AGCGGTCCGGTTTCGATCCCTGACCGGGGACATTGCGTTATCTTCCTAGGCAAGACACTTTACTCTCACAGTGCCTCTCTCCACCCAGGTGTATAAATGGGTACCGGCGAACTTAATGCTGGGGGTAGCCCTACGATGGACTAGCATCCCATCGAGGGGGGAGTAGAAATACTCCTAATCGCTTCATGCTACAGAAATGGAGGATATTACACGCCCGCGCGTGGATACGAATTTTATCTTCGAGTGTTCACAAGCGGGCATGTAATATTCTGTTTATTATATAAACATGCTAATGACGAATTTTTTTACGATTTCCCGAAGATTCTCGAACACTTTCCGAAGATTCCCGAAGGTTCTCCAAAAGTTGTCCGAAGGCCAAACAAGTTTCCGAACATTTTCCGAATATTTCCGAAGATTACCATAGATTTCCGAAGATAACCGAAGAAATCCGAGGAAGGTCCGATGTTTCGATCACACAGCAACACATCTAAGTTCAGTTTAAGCGATTATCATGTTAGTAACCATGGCGACACCAATATCCTCACAGGTGAACGATAAAAATAGCATCTTCACTGCGCGCGATGAAGATATGATTTTTCAGTAAAAGGAGAAATCTGGTATTTCACTAGTGTTTATATAATAAACCGGGATAAACTCCAGTCTGATGGGCCACTTGGCCCGTATGCAGACTTTACTTTTACCAACTGATGAATGTAACAAAACAAGACAACGAAGAAGTGAGAGAAAAAGTAGAAAAAGGTTTTCAAAATTTAAAGGACATTTTACCCGTTTCGGGACTTAGCCCGCGTTCACACTAGGAATAACATGTTTTAGTTTAATTACGTATGAAACGTGTTTCATAGTTTCATTCAAAAGAAACATAGTCGAGATGGCGGCCGAAAGCGGAGAGGAAGAAGGTCGAAACTACACTGGGATACGATGAAATGAAGGTTACGGTTCGAATGTAGGCTGATGAAGAGGCAATTATCGGCCATGAGCAAAACCATAATACTTACTGGGAGAACATTGCCAATACCTTCACGATTTAATTTCATAATTTATGCGTGTGCCGTAAAACGGCACTGATATATTATAAAGCCAAGCGTTAAACGTGTTTTAAACAAGCACGCAATGTTTAGTAGAAACGTGTTTTTTCTTAACTTGCTTACTCTAAACATGTGTCGGCCTTACCGAGTTTGAATAGAGTGGTATCCTTAGATTGAGAATATTTTATTACACGAGGCATCAATAAGTTTTTATTAAAATAACGACATGAAAGTCGCCAGGAGGTAATCATTAACTTACCATGACAAATGAGCATTGCAAAAAGGGAGTCTGAAACTAAAAATATAATCCGAGACTAGAATATGAAAAGACACTTTTGAAAACATTTTGCCCTATTTAGAAGGCGCTCTAAGAGCTACATCGATCTATCAGAAAGGTTTTATCGCGCCTAAACCAGCTGTTATGTCAAAATGCATTCGGCTAAACCATTTTCCCTTGTCGTTTTACAAATACAGGCAGCAGTAAAAGAAGCTGACAAATTGAAACAGCTGTCGCTTGCTAATTGCGTCACCTCTTTGTCTCTCAGACATTTGATAACATGACACGAAAACTTTTTCCTTATTAGCTATTGTCTTTATATATCACCTATTTGACTAAGCACTCAACAACATCATAACACGGCAGGGTGTGCGAAGAGAGCAAAACGCATCACAAACTGGTCGTTCAGAAAATATGAGTGATAACTCACATCCAGAAACTATAAGCATCATTAACTGTGCATTGAATGTACCACTGATGCTCATATCCATTATCGGGAACACTCTGGTGCTAGCAGCCATTTGCAGAACTTCCGCACTCCGTTCGCCTTCTGTAATTTTGGTCTGCAGTCTGGCTGCATCAGACCTTTCAGTTGGGTTTGTCGTACAACCGCTTTACATTACATCTACAATAACGGGAAATCCCTTCTTATTCCAAGCGACGTTAATGACAGCCGCTTGTGCAACTGGCGTGTCGCTTCTCATCATGACAGCCATAAGCGTGGATCGATTCTTGGCTCTTTATTACCACATGCGTTATCCGAGTTTGATGACAACACAACGCGCCATGTATACATCAGCGACTCTTTGGCTCATTAGCTTTCTGCTATCATTCTTGACTTTCTGGAAGATGAGTGCGTATTATTTTGTTACGGCTGTTACTATCGCCATTTGTCTCTTAGTTTCCACTGTTTGTTACATCAGAATCTATCGGATTGTCCGTCAACATCAGTTACAGATTCACGCTCAACAACAGGCTGTGGAAAATAATGCTGCAGATAATAAACGGAGCATGCTACGATCAACCAAAAGTGCCAAAAATACGTTTATTTATTACATCGTAATGATTATGTGCTACACCCCGTTGTTTACCTCCATGGCAGTTTTATCTATTTCTCACAAGGACTGGACAAACGCATGGTCATTAGGCGATACGGTGGCATTCATGAACTCTTCTATCAACCCATTTTTATACTGCTGGCGACTACGCGAGCTTCGAACGGCAGTTATTAAGGCAGCAAGGCAGGTGTTATGCGGACAAACAGAGGAAAATTCGCCATGTTAGTGTTTTGGGCTCTTGTTCGGTTACCGGCATAAACGTAAAAAAAAAAAATGCTATTCAGACAGGGCATTCATGAATTCTTCCATCAACCCATTCTTATATTGCTGGCGACTACGCGAGCTTCGAGCGGCAGTTATTAAGGCAGCAAGGCAGATGTTATGCAGACAAAGAGAGGAAAACTCGCCAAGTTAGTGTTTTGGGCTCTTGTTCGGTTACCAGCATAAACTTTAAAAAACAAATGCTATTCAGACAGGGCATTTGTATCTTCTATGACACGGGACGATGGATACTTCCCCCCAACACTCGGAAACTACGAAAATATTAAAGCAATCATTATGGTAAAAAAGCAGTGATAATGAAACTCGAAGGGCGTGTACGTCCAAAAATGCATCCTTTCACGCAAGCAACATGGGATGATGGCGTTATATCAAGTGAGAATTTCGCCATGATATCCAGACTGCCGCCATCTTCGATCCACCATCTTGAGGTGCTTAGGTCTTCAAAATCTAGAGAACAATACTAAAATGTCCTAAAAATGACACTTGTGAGAGAAGACCTTATTCCATAACCTTCAGATAACGGTATAACATTTGACGTGTGGATAACTCACATTGCATGTCTTAATGCGTAGCGTCCTTGTTATTTTTACGTGTATATCAGTTTTGTGGCAGCGCAGGGGTCTCATGCTAGTGCGCCCTCCACCGGATCGAGCGGTCCCTGTTCGAACCCTGGCCAGGACATTGAGCTGTGTTCTTGAGCAAGACACTACTCTCGCATTGCCTCTCTCCGCCCAGGAGTATAAATGGGTGCTGGTGCTGCATTACGGTAATGCTGGGGGTAACCCTGCGACAGACTAGCATTTCACCAGAGGGGAGTAGGGCTACTGTTGGTCGCTTCATACTTCTGAAACCAGGATAAGCATCGGCCTGGCCTGATAAGCCACTTAGCTCGTATACAGACTTTACCTTACCTTTACCTAACAGTTGTGTAACAGTTGATTTTTGTCATTGAAGAAGGAGAAAGTTCTGAGAGTTAATAAATCTTATTTTAGTCTGCATATCGCAACGTGACTTGTAACCATGGTAACTTCAAATGAAAAATATCCCCCTATCCGAGTCATGTCGGATGTGCCGAAATACGTTTGACGCCGGCAGCCTATCACGCCCTCGCCAAAGCTTTGGCCATTAAAGAGCAAAGAAATCCAAGCGTAGAATGTTCCTTATACGAGTGAAGTTTTCTAATCTCGTCGCCCCAAGAAAGAGTTGGGAGCATCGCAGTAAATGCAGTATCGTGATGTTTAAAATAGAGCTTTTTGCCCTTTGAAGTCTCGATGTTTAAATAATTTTCTCTTTGAGGTAACGTTTTATCAAGATCGCAACAAGAATGCTCAGTTATACCATTTACTTACTGTATCCAAAGACTGCATGCATTGGCAATAAAACAAACATTTTCACACTTATAAGTCTAACTAAAGCAACAAGGAAAAATTTGAACGTCATTTTTTGTAACCGCAATAACAATATCGTTCTTAACTACATGTAGCTAGGTACAAGTAAGTTCTGTATTGGACAATACATATTGCCTCAAAATGTCATGAAATAAACAGTGCTATCCATTTGGCGGATTCAGAAAGCAGATACTAAGTGTATTTGTGAATGTAGATACGTAGCTGAAGTCACTTTTGATCGATGAATGTCATAGCTATGTCCTGTGTAGTAATTAGACAGTATGATAACATTTCAACGAAACAGGCTTTTTAAATTTATTGTGCTTAGGTGTTATTTGAAATAATTGCAAATAGTTCATATCATGTAGTACCTACACAAGGGTAATTTTGTAAAATGTCACTCAGACTTGATAACTTTTAAAACTTTTTACATTGCTGTTAGTATGTTCAGAAGATATTTAGCCTGCATTATATTATTATTCAATCTCAGTGTAAAGCGTATTAGGCTTTGCTGAAAGCTAGATAAATTATCTCCAACAGTATTATCAAGTTGCTAGTTTATCAGTTGCACAGCCCTCTTTCATTCGCAAGCTAGTGGCCGCTGGAACACGTAGAGTTCTCCAGGAGAAGGCTCTTCTCAGTTTGTTGTGGATTAAGTGACGCACTTCTCGGCGGAGAGAACAAGTAGTAATAAGGATACGGTTTATACTCGTTGAGCCATTCAGTTGAAGGGTGAACGGTTGCATTCACGAAGGGCTTCTGAACAGAGCTTGAAGAGCCGGGGAAAATTGTCCTTTGTGAAGCAGTTTGCCGCTCGACGCTAGAACATGGATTAATCTCGAATCGCGTGCCAGGTGCTCCAAACATGTAAGGCACTGGATAGGGTTGTATTCTGTCGAAACTTACTCGCGAGTAGCTCCTGTGTTCGTCAAGAGTGCAAAGCTCTCTGCAAGGTCGTTTTCGAAAATCTCCTTTACTAAACCGGGCGATGTATGCTGGGTGAATATGCCAGAAGCAGCTCTTCCCATTAGTTGCCATCTCTCCTTTGACAAAACACTCGTGTAGCGACAGATTGTGGCGGACAGTGTTTTTCCATCCAGCCCTGGAGACAGTGAACTCCGGGAACGTTTTCTCGATCACTTGGTAAATCTGTGAGAGGGTTAATCTCTTCTCAGGGACTCGCAGAATGGCGCTGGCGATGAGAGCGACGTATGTCATCGAGAAACGTTTCGTCTTCGGCCGACTTGGAACCATTCCGTCGAGAAACCCGAGGTTGAGTTCTTCGTGTTTCTTGACGAGTTGGTTCTCAACCGTTTGCTGGATGCGTGTAGGTGGTACAAATCCGGAAAGCTTTGTTGACAACGGCTTCAGGAAGGTATGGTCTCTGAGGAACTCTGTACCCAGCGAAAATGGACGATTTCGCGCCCACGAAAACTCGTAGTCATCTTTCAAACTGGGTAGGCCCTGGTAGCAGTAAGTCGGTTGCATTTCAAGTGCTTGTTTTGAGTTTTGATACTTGAGACTTCTCGAGCTGCCTCCGCCTCGACGCTACTTAGATGCACGAGTCAACGAGCGCGGCGCTTTGCTGGAATTTATTTGCCATGCCACTTCAGCTCGCAACAGGGAAGAACTGGAACAAAACCAAACAAAGAGAGCCGTTTAATCGAACTTGCTAGCTTTAAATGGGTTACCAGCAAACAATTGTTCGCCCACTCTTAAGCGACTGACATCTAGTTTAATGAAGTAGATGTGTGGAAAATCGGCTTATGCTCGGAACGAATTCTCGTATAATCCGTCTTTTAATATAAAACTAAAAGAAAACAATTAGTTCTTAAGCGCTTAGTGTTTTGAGAAATAAGTATGCTTCAACAAAGCTAGTGCAAGGACACTATTTTTTGGACCTTATTGTTTATTTTGCAAACAATTATTTCACCAGAAAATATCCTGCGACTGATGCGGTACAAGAGAGGAAAAAACAATGATTATTTCCCAAACTTTTTAGAGTAACAGTTTGCTTGTGATGGCAAATATATCTTAAGCACAATATTTTGACTTTTGTGAAAAATCATCGAGTTCGTGTTTTCGAAAACGTTTTTAAGCCACCATGCCGGGAAAATCCACAAGCACTTCAACAAGTGCAGGCGTGGTGTTAATCTATTATTTAGACATGGCATACCACCCGTTCATGGCCACTCTTCCCTCTTTTTTCCGCCTAACAACAAGATTTCCATTATTGGAACACGAAAAATCTGTTGACATCAAGAGCCCTGGATTTCCAATCTGTTTTTTTGACATGAATCCTTACTGTTTCCCGCTAACCCCTCTGAAGGTTTGTAGCCTCTCACTGCAGCATTCCTAAAGATCAATAAACTCTAGAAACACGCTATGTTTATCGCAATGTTTTCATCTCTCAGACATAATACAAAGTCTGGCGGTCGATTGGAAATTAAATAGTGTATGAAGATAACTTCTACAAGGGACAATTTAAAGGTAAATGTATTCATATAAGACGGAGAGCACGTGGAATAGTTTTAATAATGCCAATACACATAGAGGGAGTCTAACTTATTGTTCAGTTTAAGAGTCTTCATGGATCACTAATCATTATAATGCAAATATGTAAACAAACCTCGCTATGTTCACTCACAATGTTTGTCATTTGAAAACACTTGTGTCTTGCAGATCATCCTAGACTTACGCCTTTCAAAATTATAGTCATGACAAGAAAGCAATCTTACAAGTAATAACTGGCTTTAGTTAGCTTTTTTTAGCCTTAGGTTATATACGATACAACTTTCTCTATCGTCCTACACGACCTGAAGCAGCCTGTGACAATTAAAGGTATTAATCTTGATTTCGGACTAATTCCAGCGCGAACAAACTTCATCCTCCTAGTAGCTCATAATCTTGCATTCGGGCATTCGAAGACAAAACTGTTATTTCTCAGAGATTCTGTGACACGTGGTTTTCCAAAACAAAGAAATACCGCTATACCGTTGCCAAACAAAAGAATCGCGCAAGACCGTTATTTAATCTTATCGTGGGTGTAGAAAGTTTCGTATAATTCGAGCCTTGACACGATGCCTGCAGATTACCCAAAAAATTCCATGACAAGATTTTGGCTAATCTGGATGATAATTCCAAATCGAGGTTTAAAAATTTCTAGACTCCAAAACCAGCAGTAATTTTATTTTGACGAGCTCTTGAAATGACATTATTTAGCCCTAATTATCAAATGGCAGGTCTGGGGCCAATACTTTCTTTTTATGACCAATGAAACTGCAGTTCTGTAAATTAGGCCACATTTAATAAATGACCGAATAAACTTATATGGTATCAGCACGGCTGGTAAATAAGAACTCCTCCACATGAAAGACACGATGAAGACATCTTTCTTATCAATAATTGACAATCGAAAGCTCTTTTCGTAAAACCAAAAACTGATATTATCCATGAAGACTGAATTATTTTGGACAATTAATGCAAACGCAATGGGATTATCAGCTCTTTCTCGATATTTTAGCTGTTGAATACTTACGTTATTTTGTATGTTATTGCTTGGAAAACAATAAACAAAACACTAAACGAACAAAACAAATACCTGAGACAACCAGTTCATTGTCAAGCAACGACGCCTTTAAGATAGGTGACAAACTAGACCCTTGGCTTTTCCACGGAAAGTAATGTGGATTCAAGTTAAGAGTTTGTCTTATTTTTCCAAAGTGGTGCATACTTGAACGTAAAATCTTTTTAATGAGTTCCTTAATTTGCTTGCTGGAAATGTTGATTATCTCAAAAAGCTCAAAGCAATGTGGTTGGGCCAATTCAATTTATGCGCGAAAGAAACAACGCCATTGAGACAGAAAATGCAACGCTTTTTCCACTACCAGAGTTGATAAATTCTTTACGCATAACACTACAAGTTAAACCTTATACAACACCTTTTTCCTATGAAATACAACCTACTCACAAAGAAACGATTAGTTCATTCGCAGCAAAAGTTATGCCCTGAATTGACTAACAACTTGCAACAAAAGCAGTACTATGCTTGGCCAAACGTTGTTTAAATATCAGCATGATCTCAGAGTTTAAAAGCTGGACGAAGAAGACAAAATAACGAAAATGTAAATATTGTGGGAAAAGTTGAATGATATACTTGGAACAAAACCCTTTCAAAACGAAAGCCGCCTCTTTGTTTCCACTAGAAAACTCGATAGGGGACCAGTTAAGCCACTTTCTATTGTAAAGATTGTCAACAAGCTTTTCCACGCATCTTTTTCAATAATGGGTTTATCGTCACCTGCCCTTGTTGATTTTGAAGTGAGTTTTGTTCTTGAAAAGCACCCTTTTACGATTCACGAAATGAAAATTTCTTTGCTCGGAGAATCTACAATTCAAAACTCACGACGCTTTTTGGATAATTTTTCGTGAGTTTCACTTTTAAGTTTGAAAATGGCCTCATGAAGACGACGGACATTTTCTGAGAACGTTTAATTAAGATAATGAAGATGAACCCTCCCTAGCAATAACAATAATCGTATATTTAATTTCCATCGTTGCCATCTTAAGCTGTTAGTAATGAGGAACCTGTTATTGGTCACATCCCAGCTTCACAATGAAAATTTAGGTCTTAGTTCTATCGTGCTTAGTTCCTCAAAATCTGCTTCAAATCGAATTCGGTGCTTCTTAAAATTGTGCCCACTGAGCCAGTGTAAATAAATGTAATTTTCATTGTTTTAGATTGAAACGGGAAACTAAAGCATTGAAACAAAAACGAAAACATGTTCCGTTAAGAAGTACCCTATGCATTCCTTTCAGTTGAAATAAATGTAGAATACCACAGTTTGATGATTTAAAACTCATTGACAGCCGTTAAACCCGGCTCGCTATTAGTTCTGAGAAGCTATTGACTTGCAATTGTCAACACAGTATTCCCTGTTTTGTCTTCAGTGGATGAGTTCATTTAATCTCACCTCTCTCTGCATAGCAGCCGAACTCTTTTCTGTTTGTTTTATACCAAATATAAAGCTCTAAAATGCTAAAATAAAGTTATCAGCGGGTTAACAACTACCCAACCCGACGAGACACTTTGAACTTACCACGGTATGGCATCCGTGAACTTTCCTTCGATGCACCTGTCGCAAATAATTTCAACTGAGCAAAACTCAGTTTTATGCTTTGCACAGTAAGAGCTCAGACGTCCTTGTGTTTAAGTTAACCGCAGTTAAACATCAGGGAGGATGCAGATAACGTAATAGATTCGCTGGTTTAGATTGGTCGGTGTTTAGTAAGAGAAAACTGGTATTGGCTCTCTAAACACTGCGTGGGCTTTTTCAGCACCCTCAGAGAGAAACAACTCTAGATATTTTGTATCGGCATTTTGACTTTTTTTCTTCTTTCTTTTCTCGTAGTGAAGCTCCTTATGACTATTAATTAGCCTTACACAAATTTCACATTACTAACTCTACAAATGCATGTATGCTTAGGAAAAGCAAACAAATAAAATTAGTTTTTCCGCGATGGAATTTATAGCCACATAAAGAAATTACCACAACTACCATTACATGTACTCTTTGTGTTGTTTTAGTTGAAACACGAACCAGCTGTTTTATTCAAAGTTTCTTTAGTTTCTTCTTCTTCCTGACGTTAATGCGGAACATAAAGGCAAAAACTGTGTTCGATTTATTCTCTAAGCATCACAATTATGTCTTTTCTTTAGAAATTACTGGCAGCTTTCTCCAATTATTTGGCGTAATTATTACAAATACTAATCAATAGCCTCTACATCCAAAATGATTGTAATGAACCAGCCTTTTTATTTGCATGATCTGCCTGTATTCCTGTAATGATAATCATAAAAGCTACAGCTATTGACAAGACCAGTTTCAGTTAGTTTAAGGGACGTCATTTAGGAATTCAATCCATATACCAATTTTTAATCGATATCTCCGGATTTCGTTGGAAGAAAATCCCTCTATATTCCTAAGAATACTTTGAACCTTGATTTTCTGTAATTGGGTACAGACAAGATGGTGTAGTAAAAACATAATGACAGCCTATTTCAAGAGCCAAAATGGGTTCGAACTAGTCCTTTGAGAACACTTTGAGAAAAGAATCCTTTTCCAACGAAATCATGAGTTGGCCTAATTGAGAAAAGGACCTAGGTTTAATTAAAAAGACGAATTTGAGAACCCCTGAGAGATATTGATTTACCACTTTTTTAACCATTCCATCTGTCGAGATACAGGGCGCCTACATGGAACAATTTACCGAACCTCTAGAAGACTCAGGGCTATTTTGACTGCTCTTCAGAATCACCCATTCCTAACTGAGACAACAAACCTCGATATACCGAAAATACATAAAAACGAGCTCCAGGATGACGACCAAATCAATGGCTTCAGGTGGAAACAAGCAGGTCCACAACTTTTCTAAAATCTTGTTGAATTGCTTAATTTCACCTGAAGGCACTGAATGAACTTTTGACATCTCAAAAAAAAGGTCCTGGTGCAAAGAGTTCCCGTTTAAGGCAAACTTAGTTTTGATCTTAAACATTATACTTACTCTATAAATTTGACCGATGAAACGACCGTCGAGTCTCTCCTTGCACTGAGCGAAGCTGTTTTCTCTTTAGAGATCGTACGGGTCAACCTCCTTATTGTCAACTGCGCGGAGTAGCTTAACTAACTGTAACAAAAAAATGTTATTCTCCTCTGCTTGGATGACGCAATATTGTGACAGATGATGCTGGTAAATTTCACGAGAAATACTCGTATATAACGAGGAATTTGTTCAAAATTAAAGAAGCTTTTGTTGTATGCCTAAGTTTCTTTTCTAAATACTCCTTATGATAACAAACATTTAATCATGTTTGCCAACGAGTATGTTTGTCGAACTGGTTTGCATCATAAAAAAGGACTCTTTTCTTGCTATGTTAGTATCCAATTTGTCGTGTCATAGCTGAAAAAGTCAGATTTTTAAATTTGTTTGTGTTCAGTTTGGTGTCAGAATATAGCTAGTATCTGGAAAAAATTTAGTCTTTCACTTTATTTGTGGCGTAAGTGATCATAAACTACATCATATATAATCATACGATCCATTATCATAGACTGATAAATTTGATAATCATACAATGCATTTTCTTGTTAATCACAAACTGCTCAATTTTCGAAAGACTTAATTAATTTGGTTCCTTGTACAAATACCTGTATCTCAACAGTTATTTACAGGCTTTAAATCAATCTGTTCTTTGTTCAATGTATCCAAAAAAAGAGACACTGGTGGCTGGGAGCTAAATCCAAGAAGTATTCCCTTACTGTAGGGAGACAATAGGAATTGAACACAACAGGTTCCACAACGAAAATCTGCTGGTACTGCAAATAACAGATGCAAAAATTATGCTCGCATTGCGCCGCTTGAACTGAGAAGTTAAAGGAGCCAAGATTTTCTGTCGATCTTTAAATGTTTCGAAAACTGTTAATCAGGAGACCCTACATGACAGACAAACCGTTATTAAAGGAAGGAGATTTACAAATCATGGATAAAATACGGGAGTCTATGTCGCCAGATTTAAAGATAAGAATGGAGCAAAAATGAAGTGAACTGCCCTACTTGCAATTGCTGAAAAACATTGCTTTTTATTAGCCAACATAACGTAGATAAGTATCTAATTTCTTAAGAAAGTAAATATGTTTTTGTATCTTTAAGCACAGTAAGTGGTTGCCTTATGTATTTTGCATCAAAAAAAGTCAGTGAAATTAGCTAGTATAGAGAATCCTGACAGTTAGAAACAACAGTTCAATATGTAAGGATTTATTGCAAAAAAAGGGAGACAATAGTTTTTCTGATAAAGCAGTTCCCCTGCATGTGAAACATAAATCTCTTTCCTCCATAAAAGAACCTTGTGTATTCTTCAAAACTTTCCACCTATGTACGACTCTCCACTCTTAATCTGAAATGTTGATAGAGCTTCTAGTTTTTACACACACGGTTACAGACAATGTTAGATACGAATAAAATAACGACTTCGAGAAACCGTGAGTTCTTTAATGTATTCCCTAAAGCAAAAAATCTGTACTATAACTACTCTTGCAAAACGTTTTCTTAGTTTACAATAAATTGGTCGACACAGGGTAAAAGATAGTTTAGTTACCACGTCTCAGCCCTGCTTCGATCTTAGATTTCAGAGGAAGTAATGGTCAATAAAAATTTCAAAACATTATTGCCACCCAAGAAATTTCTTGACGCGGCAAACGCAAAATTTCGTAAATTCCTCGGAAGTGGTACGGGTAAGGAAGTTAGTTACAGGTGGACAGTGCCAGGCTTGATCCAGCGGGTGGGACTCTCGCTGAAACATGTTACCGGTTATATTTCGTGTTATTCTAACAACTGGACGCCTCTTTTTCTGTCGTGAGCCACTTATGAAGTG